GAGTTTGGTTGGTATATCTTAGCTCTGAATAATGATTAAATATTATAAGATAATAATGCTATTAATAATAGGTAGAAATCATCTGCAAGGTCGATTAATAAATATAATATATAAATAAAAATACAAAACTATGAAACATAAATGTTTTAATCCGCTTTGGTACCTTTAATAAATGACTATTATAAGTCATAAACTAAAAACAACTTATTTCATGCATAGATTAAACATATTATTACTTATTTGAATATTTAATCTAATGTTTCAGGGTATTTGGTATATAGTACTCTTTAAACTTGAACTAAGGTATCTTGGTTTGTGGTATCTTTGTTTGTTTTTGTATTAATAGTATACGGTATACGTTATATTTTCTGCGACAATTAAAAATAATATGCTTTAAGTGACAATTTTAAGAAAACTAAAATTATTTTTCTCAATTGGTTGGCAGCACCGACAATTTCGTGTCGTGGTATGTTACCACAGATTATATAAATTTTTTTTATATAATCTGTGTTATTACCATAAGTATTAATTGTGACCATTTGTAACCATCGTTACAAATTTTTCGCCGTTGTACCCTACAAATACAAAAAAAAGTTTCATTTCAAAAATGTGCACATATTGGTTGGAACAAAAGTTATTTCATTTGTCAGATCTTCTTGTTACATTTGTATTTTACCTTAACGCAATTCAAATACTTAATATTTCAATGTATAAGAAAAACAAATTCGTTTTTTTGCGACTTGGCTGTATTAAAAAATAAAGTAAGTAGGTACTTATTTAGGTACATTATTAATATGGTATATTATAATTATATCAACCTATAGTGAACTACTGAACTCTTGATTATTCACGGGTGGATTATTCGTGTTTTTCCACGCAATTATGAACAGTGCTAAAAAATAACGGTGTTAGTATACAATGTACGTAATATGTAATTGCAAAAAAATTAATGTTTAAATAAAAATAAAACGTGTTTTTATATAGGTAATTACCTTACAATACTATTTTAATATTCAAAATAGTATAATTCTTTTCTATAATATAATAATGGTATTTTTTATTCAATTTGTATTTTGTGAATTAACCAAATTTCGCTTATCCGTTATTGACGTGCCACCCTATTCCACCGACAACCGAGAGGTTACTGTATTGTACAATTGTCTGTAATAGTATTTTCTGACAATATTTTATTCTTATTCGCTAGAAATATTATTATTTATAATGAAAATAAACTGTGTCTGTGTGTCATATGATACACTGGATATATTATTATAACGGAATCTGTTGCCAAACAATGGAAGCAACTAACCTAAAATTATACCTACCTAAATTTATAACATGCAATCAGAATAACTTT